TTAAATAATATACACTCAGTTAAATAACCCTCTGATTTTAATCATTAATTATATAAATTATTAAACCTTTCTTATTTTTTATAAGTCTGTAAACGTTTGGGTTTTTTTTAAATCTGGCCTCATAATGGATGATAAATAGTTTACCTGCAAAGTTGCAATGCATTTTCTGTGAATGGTTGTCAGAACAAACCAAAAACCAATTATCTATTAAATAGATTTAGGCCAACTGCAGTTACTGGTTTCAAACACTCAGACCCATCAAGGGAGTGATCTATCGTTTTACTTTCAAATGGGGACGGTTTTGCTCGGCTGGTGCTGGTGTGACACACGGAATTCAGTTACTTATCCATAAACTATATTAAAAAAATCAGAGAAAATAACTTTTTCCCCAGTACGTTGCCACTCGGCAACCGACTTTGGAAACGCACTGGGGCGTCCCCCATTTTCGTGTTACTCAGAGCATATGCTCTCGTTATCGGCTGGTAATGTGTAATCTTGTTGAGACAACGTTTGGCGACAGATCGTATTTGTTTTTTGATATTGCCAAGTAGCACTGATCTGTAGCCTATATAGGTGGTGGGAATAGTTATACCTAATATAGTTGTTGGTTGGTAGGTTGGTTTATTGTTTAACACCGCACTCAGCAATATTCCAGCTATAAGACGGCGGTCTGTAAATAATCGAGTCTGGACCAGACAATCCAGTGATTAATATCATGATCATCGATCCACGCATGCAATTGGGATCGATGACATGGATCAACCAAGTCGGCGAGCCTGACCACCCGATCCCGTTATTCGCCTTTTACGACAAGCATAGTCGCCTTTTACGGCAAGCATGGGTTGCTGAAGACCTATTCTACCCCGGAATCTTCACAGGTCCCTAATATAGACATACAGTCAAGTCTCGTTAATCCGACATCGTTGGTTGCACATGATTGTGTCGGATTAACGAGTATGTCGGATTAACGAAATTAAGTGATTTGTGATCGAAAATCGGACGTCTTTACAACTTGCTTCATCTACTTAAAATAGTCTGTCAGTGCGTGTCAAAACACGGGGTTGTGTACTCGCGGTCAGATGACCACGGAGTACGCTGATCACTGTGTCGGATTAACGAGACTGATTAATAAGTGATTTCGGCAATTCGTGGCAAATTAGGTGTGTCGTAGTCGGAGTGCGAGAATGTCGGATTAACGGGACTAAATAGCACTGAATCAATCGGTTCCCATGATTTGTGTCGGATAAAGCCGAGTGTCGGATTAACGAGTGTCGGATTAACGAGACTTGACTGTACTTAGATTGACAATGCCGATACCGGCGATAGGGTTGATGCATGCACTTGGCTGATGCATGTCATCGTACCCCGACGGCGTGGGTCGTTGCTCATGATATCAATCATTGGTTCAGGTTCGATTATTTACAGACCGCCGTTATCTAGCTTGAATATTGCTGAGTGCGGCGTTAAACAACAAACTCACACAGTCACAGTACCGTCACATACCTATTCGGGGCGGTCGGGTAGCCTAGTGGTTTAAGCGTTAGCTCGTCACGCCGAAGACCCGGGTTCGATTCCCGACATGGGTACAATGTGTGAAGCCCATTTCTGGTGTCCCCCGCCGTGATATTGCTGGAATATTGCTAAAAGCGGCGTAAAACCATACTCACTCACATACTATTCAACACTGGTTGTACAATGCATTAATTGAATCTATACACGGAGAGTCTGATATTGACTGACTGGTTAAACAAACTCTCCTCAGAAAGCAGGCCATACACTTGCCATCTCAACCCAAAGGTTACGTACTATATTATATTACGTCACTGCTTGTTATAGGCGTGAAGGTTTGTCCTTATAACGAAGTTTTCTGTGGCTGAGGTAGTAAGTCGCCTGACTGAATTACAACAATATGATTATTTATACTCTAAACAAGCTATAATTAGGGGTACAGACACACGCGCTGTTATGTAATGTGTACTTGAGTTTAACATGTTGAGACGCGAGCGGCGATAACACCGTCACGGTGAGATAACATGGCTACGCCGCCTTTACTAATTTTGACTTAGTTACTTGTAGATTACGTTGATCGTAATTGTTAACTTATCGTACTTGCTACTCCAGGAATGTTTCGGCACATGATTATATTTGCTGGTATCATGACGACGCACTTGAGGGACCCGGGTTATGTAGGGGGCATGGTTGGCGTCGTCTAAGGCGCCGCTGTGCAGAGTTGCGTCCCTTGGGCACAGAAACCTATGATTGTTGGTTCGAATCCCGGTTCTCCCCGTTTATGTTTCTAGGTTTGTCAGCACCATACCCGTGCTCGTTGGTTTCACCGAAGTGGTAAACGTCTAAGACCTTCATCACTTCGGGCTTTCCTCCCACATAAGCTGACACGCCGTGATATAACTGGAATACTGTACTCACTCACTCACTCACTCACACGTGTGTCACACTGATATTACGTTTCGTTAAATCAGTATGACAATATAGTGATATCTTTAAGGGGTGAGTAATACACGTTACTTGTGTCCAGAGTAATGTGAGTACCAACTGTTAAATCAATATGCATCATAAGCTTAAATTTAAGTTAATTAGCAGACTCACAAAATGGGTTTTCAAAGATTAATATCAAACTTGAGCAGCCTTGTCCGCAACAGTATATTTACAAAGTACCAGAAATTTATCTTCTGCATTCCTACGGATTGCATTTATATATCGAATGTATATATTTAATATAGGATTCGAACCCATATACACCGGATCCTGATACAATTTAAGGGACCAAACTCTGCATCGCACATTGTAGTTCTAGGGAGGATTGAACCTTTGTGCTTTTTCGGGCAACTTTTACACATGTTTGCATTTAAACAAAAATATGTCAATTGTTTTGTCTTGATATAATTCATTATTGAATGCAAAGATTATTTATCCTTATTGGGAGATGTCAAACTAAGAAATTCGGAGTAGGCACGATGCTGGCTTGTCTGACCCACAGTCCCTGAACCATTTTCCCTTCCGCCCAGCCCGTACTGCAATGATAGTCCTAAATGAAACAAGTCTAGATTTTCCACGGGTTCATGTTTAGAAACTCCTACCCCACTGGGTCTCCTTTTCAGTTTAAATGAAGATGTTTGTTTCTATCTTATATTGTTTTCTAAATTATATATTTTCAGACAGTAAGTGTTAGTCTAGGTGTTGGCCAAAGAAGCCCAAGCTGCCTTCTGAGACGTCAATTCACTCGCTTGTGGCATTTTAAAATCTTACATGCATATTAAAAAGACCCGTGAAGATTCCGGGGTAGAATAGGTCTTCAGCAACCCATGCTTGCCGTAAAAGGCGACTATGCTTGTCGTAAAAGGCGATTATGCTTGTCGTAAAAGGCGACTAATGGGATCGGGTGGTCAGGCTCGCTGACTTGGTTGATGCATGTCATCGATCCCAATTGCGTGGATTGATGCTCATGATATCAATCACTGGATTGTCTGGTCCAGACTCAATTATTTACAGACCGCCGTCATATAGCTGGAATATTGCTGAGTGCGGCGTTAAACAACAAACCAACCAACCAAAAAATAAAGCATATTAAAAAAAACAAAGTAGACACAATTTATGGATATTTACTTTCGGTACACATCCTTATACCGTTGTGAAGGAGCTATACATAAACGTCCCCTTTACAGTAAATTAAGAAGTTGTTATCCATAAACTGTGTCTATTTTGTCACCCGCCAATTTCTAAGTAATGCCTATCACACAATTCATATTAACATATTAACTATTTGGATTTTATAACTACTTGATTAATTATAAATATTTTAATGCCAGCAGGCGTGTCTCAAAGTCGTTTAAAAAACAACCCACAATTTGCAAACTGATTTTACGTGATTTGTATCTGAGAATCTGATACAGTATTGTTAAACCAAAAATATACTGAATAAGTATATCGCGTTGTGGATTACTATTCATCCCCAGCTCGACAAACGTAAAGTATTATTATAACATAAGTCAATAACGCTAATGAAATACTGTAGAGTTGGTATTAACTAAAGAAGCATATTGCACAATATAACTTAACTAGCTCTCTTGCCACACAGTAGCTTTGCTATTATGTTTCTATAATTTTAGAACGCCTCCGTGGTCTAGTGGTAGAGCGTCCGCCCGGAGAGCGGAAGGTCCGGGGTTCGATCACCGGCCGCGTCATACCAAAAGACGTTAAAAGATGGTACTTGTAGTTACCCTGTCTGGCGCTCGGCATTAAGGGGCTAAAACAAGGACTGGTCGGCTCGGAGTCCGTATACTGCGTCTGAGGGGGGTATTCATGTTAAACTGCGGCATGGTATCTCAGTGGGCTAACACTATAAATCGGCATCAGTCCGGACTAGTACAAGCAGCCACACACACACGTGCATACACGTCGCTATATAAGTGCAATAATCTTAGACGCGACGTGAAACCCAATTTCACCCTACCTATAATTTTAACTGACTTCATTTGTACGTATATATATAGTCGGATCATAGGTTTTCGGACGGCCATGTGTATCGCGATTACTCGCGTTATAACTGGGGATGAAGCGTCGCTCTGACATTGTAAATACTCAGATGATTACTTGTTTTTAAGAGAAAGTTGTCTTTTAAAAGCGAATGAGATGTTTTCCAGGTGTTCGTGAGAGAGAAAACTGCGAATGTTTCTTAAGCGTCCGAAAACCCACAACACGGGGATATATATTGCATGTTCTACCACCCCGGCATTCACCTGATTAAGGGACAGAGTGAGAAATAGCCCTTAAACGTTGTGTGTGTATGTTAAATAAGTTATGATCCATAATAAACCGCTTTGTCATAATCTTCCTGGTGTGTATGGCTTCATTGACCGCATATGTTGAAACAGACTATAGATTAATATTGGATGGCAACGCAAACAAACTTGACAGGTACCCTGACGTCAATGGTCCAATCCACCAATCACACGGCTCGTTATAACAAGCTTAGGCTCACAGCATGGCGACGATTGTTGTATCAACAGATCCAAAACAACGTGGTGTCAATAGAGCATTTTGCATCCGTGCCAGACATTTAAACAATGAAGTTATGATTGTTATGTGCAATGAGGTGTTACGATGGGCAACTCCAGGCTCTAACCACTAGCATGCAGCGGATTTCGATGGGAACGTTTGCGAACAGACCGGACGAATGTTTTGACGTTTCACTGCGCATGAGAACACATCGTGTTCCTGCACGTCCGACCTGAAGGCTGGACAGATGACACATATGTGTCAATGGTGCTGTTTTTTTAATGGATAGTTTCTGATGAGAATTGATCGTCGAAGACTACATCTTCGTCGGTCATAATGTGAGGATTTGTCATTATGTGGTGACAATAAAGAAGTGAATATTGTTTTAGTGTCTCTCCGTCCAAATTGGCGCTCGCTACATGTGATACCCCAGATTTCCAGGTCTACTGGAAACTCCGTCCACTACAGTGATTCACAGGAATATACATCTATATAGCGTGTGATATATATATCTGTTTTGTTGTTTGTTTTTTGGAATTACCATGGCAACCACAACATTAACTCGACTGCCACAACCACCCCCTAAACTCACAGGGGGTAAGAGGGGGCCATCGCTCTCAAGCGATGAGGATGACACATTGGACAGTCCACGGAATTCTAGAAATCCAGTGAGTCCGCGACAGCTGCATCAAGGCTTGTCTCAACCCCTACTGAGCAGTGCTCCCCAAACAGTGTGCCCCCCCCAACTACCGTCCACCACGCCTCCCCGCCCCACAGACGTACCCTTGAGTCCGACAAGTCCGTCTATTTCGACCTATGGCTGCGAACATGACCATGATTATGAGAATGTGGCATCTCCCAACAGCAGCACAGCAAGTGGGCCGATATATGTGCGACCACCGGGGTTTAAACACCATGCTCAAGCCATTGAAGCTAAGTCTCGGCATAAGAAGAAGAAAACCACAACGCTGTTGTCATTACGTGATGGATTAAAAAAACGGGAGCAAACCCCCCCGAAGTATAAAGCTAGGAGAGGTACGTGTGGATTGACATTTTTAATTATTAATGATTAAAAAACTTTAACAGAAACAGAAAGTTCAAATTCATTGAGACAGGGTGAAACGATTGATACAACTATCAATGCATCACACTTTTCTTTAGTCCATTGGCAAATACACCTATGACACCTTCATATATTGATAATTGATATTGATACTATGAGTGACTACTGATAGTTTTGAGAGATGTACAACAATAAATATATTTATCACCACCCTTTGTAAATAATTTGCTGTTGAATATTAGAAAATTTTCATATTTACTATAATACATGATAATAGGAGCTACCTCTACCAATGAAATGGCAGCTGTGTTAGACTTACAGCATGTTGAATAAAGCAAAGAAATGTGCAACAGTGCTAATCACAGATTACGAATAAAGGATGGATTGAAACAAATTCAGCTTATTAGTTTCAAGTAATTTGTTGGGGCGGTGGGGTAGTGTAGTGGTTAAAGCATTCGCTTGTCCCGCCAAAGGGCCGGGTTTGATTCCCCACATGGGTACAATGTGTGAAGCCCATTTCTGGTGTCTCTCACAGTGATATTGCTGGAATATTGCTACAAGTGGTGTAAAACTATACTCACTGACTCAACTAATTTTGGAAATGACATAACTTGTCTAAAGAATTCAACTCCTGCAGTCTGTGCCAGAAAGTTTTGAGTCTACAAGCCCGAGCTTGGCTCTCACCATCATTCTTAGTTAATTGTAGTGTTGTATGGTCTATTATCAACTGGGGGCACGGGTGGCCCAGTCTTCTAAGGCGCCGCGATTCGCTGTGCAGAGTTGCGTACCTTGGGCACGCCAGAAACCTATGATTGTGGGTTCGAATCCCGGTTCGCCCCGATTATGTTTCTAGGTTTGTCAGCACCATACCCGTGCTCGTGGGTTTCACCGAAGTGGTAAACGTCTGAGACCTGCATCATTTCGGGCTTTCCTCCCACATTAAGCTGACACGCCGCGATATAACTGGAATACTGTTAAAAGCGGCGTAAAACCCAACTCACTCACTCACTCACTCATTGGATTACTGTGTGATATAACTTGGATACTGTTCAATGTGGCGTTACACCAAGCTAACTCACTCAGTGCAATAACATTACTAACACCACTGTGTCACTTGACCATGGCTCAATGTTCTGTTGATTTTGTAGGGTTACACAAAAAGAATTGGTATTGATTAAAATAATTAATTAATCTCATTTGAATAACATAATTAATGGTCAGTACCGTTGAAGGAACATTCATATTCTGTGTATTTTCATTTGTTAAAAACATCTACATAGAGGTGGTAAAAGAATCAAGCCAAATTGTTTGACAAGGTTGACAATGAATGGCTAGAAGACACTAGCATCCTTCATTTGGACTGGCCGGGCAAAGTTTGCCCCAGATCCCCCTATTGTGGGATGTCAGATCTTCAAGCAGGATTTAATATATGTTTAATAAGATTGGTCCATTAGTCACAGATTTGACTCCCAGATTCAGCTGATTATCATTCTTGCACTGTCAGCACCATATACTCCTGCTTGTTAGTTCTACCAAAGTCGGGGGCACGGGTGGCCCAGTCGTCTAAAGCGCAGCGATTCGTTGTGCAGAGTTGCGTCCCTTGGGCACGCCAGAAACCTATGATTGTGGGTTCGAATCCCGGTTCGCCCCAATTATGTTTCTAGGTTTGTCAGCAACATACCCGTACTCGTGGGTTTCACCGAAGTGGTAAACGTCTGAGACCTGCATCACTTCGGGCTTTCCTCCCACATTAAGCTGACACGCCGTGATATAACTGGAATAATGTTAAAAGCGGCGTTAAACCCAACTCACTCACTCTACCAAAGTCATAACAATCATCTATTATCGGGGTCTTCATGGGCTGTCCTCCAACAGCAAGATGATGCAGTGTGATAAATAGAGGCTCTTACCCACACGTTTTGATGATATATGATCCATCGGCATGACTCACTTAAAGTCCCATAGATCATGAGTCCATAAAAGTCATATATCAGCATGACTCACTTAAAGTCCCATAGATCATGAGTCCATAAAAGTCATATATCGGCATGACTCAGTAAAAGTCCCATAGATCATGAGTCCATAAAAGTCATATATCAGCATGACTCAGTAAAAGTCCCATAGATCATGAGTCCATAAAAGTCATATATCAGCATGACTCACTTAAAGTCCCATAGATCATGAGTCCATAAAAGTCATATATCAGCATGACTCACTTAAAGTCCCATAGATCATGAGTCCATAAAAGTCATATATCAGCATGACTCACTTAAAGTCCCATAGATCATGAGTCCATAAATGTCATATATCAGCATGACTCACTTAAAGTCCCATAGATCATGAGTCCATAAAATTCATATATTAACTTGACTTAGTAAAAGTCCCATAGATCATGAGTCCATAAAAGTCATATATCAGCATGACTCACTTAAAGTCCCATAGATCATGAGTCCATAAAAGTCATATATCGGCATGACTCAGTAAAAGTCCCATAGATCATGAGTCCATAAAAGTCATATATCAGCATGACTCACTTAAAGTCCCATAGATCATGAGTCCATAAAAGTCATATATCGGCATGACTCAGTAAAAGTCCCATAGATCATGAGTCCATAAAAGTCATATATCAGCATGACTCACTTAAAGTCCCATAGATCATGAGTCCATAAAAGTCATATATCGGCATGACTCAGTAAAAGTCCCATAGATCATGAGTCCATAAAAGTCATATATCAGCATGACTCACTTAAAGTCCCATAGATCATGAGTCCATAAAAGTCATATATCGGCATGACTCAGTAAAAGTCCCATAGATCATGAGTCCATAAAAGTCATATATTAACTTGACTTAGTAAAAGTCCCATAGATCATGAGTCCATAAAAGTCATATATCAGCATGACTCAGTAAAAATCCCATAGATCATGAGTCCATAAAAGTCATATATCGGCATGACTCAGTAAAAGTCCCATAGATCATGAGTCCATAAAAGTCATATGTCAGCATGACTCAATAAAAGTCCCATAGATCATGAGTCCATAAAAGTCATATATCGGCATGACTCAGTAAAAGTCCCATAGATCATGAGTCCATAAAAGTCATATATCAGCATGACTCACTTAAAGTCCCATAGATCATGAGTCCATAAAAGTCATATATCAGCATGACTCAGTAAAAGTCCCATTGATCATGAGTCCATAAAAGTCATATATCAGCATGACTCACTTAAAGTCCCATAGATCATGAGTCCATAAAAGTCATATATCGGCATGACTCACTTAAAGTCCCATAGATCATGAGTCCATAAAAGTCATATATCGGCATGACTCAGTAAAAGTCCCATAGATCATGTTTCCATAAAAGTCATATATCAGCATGACTCAGTAAAAGTCCCATAGATCATGAGTCCATAAAAGTCATATATCAGCATGACTCACTTAAAGTCCCATAGATCATCAGTCAATAAAAGTCATAATATCAGCATGACTCAGTAAAAGTCCCATAGATCATGAGTCCATAAAAGTCATATATCGGCATGACTCAGTAAAAGTCCCATAGATCATGAGTCCATAAAAGTCATATGTCAGCATGACTCACTTAAAGTCCCATAGATCATGAGTCCATAAAAGTCATATATCAGCATGACTCACTTAAAGTCCCATAGATCATGAGTCCATAAAAGTCATATATCAGCATGACTCACTTAAAGTCCCATAGATCATGAGTCCATAAAAGTCATATATCAGCATGACTCACTTAAAGTCCCATAGATCATGAGTCCATAAAAGTCATATATCGGCATGACTCAGTAAAAGTCCCATAGATCATGAGTCCATAAAAGTCATAATATCAGCATGACTCACTTAAAGTCCCATAGATCATGAGTCCATAAAAGTCATATATCAGCATGACTCACTTAAAGTCCCATAGATCATGAGTCCATAAAAGTCATATATCAGCATGACTCACTTAAAGTCCCATAGATCATGAGTCCATAAAAGTCATATATCAGCATGACTCAATAAAAGTCCCATAGATCATGAGTCCATAAAAGTCATATATCGGCATGACTCACTTAATGTCCCATAGATCATGAGTCCATAAAAGTCATATATCGGCATGACTCAGTAAAAGTCCCATAGATCATGAGTCCATAAAAGTCATATATCAGCATGACTCACTTAAAGTCCCATAGATCATGAGTCCATAAAAGTCATATATCGGCATGACTCAGTAAAAGTCCCTTAGATCATGAGTCCATAAAAGTCATATATCAGCATGACTCAGTAAAAGTCCCATAGATCATGAGTCCATAAAAGTCATATATCAGCATGACTCACTTAAAGTCCCATAGATCATGAGTCCATAAAAGTCATATATCAGCATGACTTACTTAAAGTCCCATAGATCATGAGTCCATAAAAGTCATATATCAGCATGACTTACTTAAAGTCCCACAGATCATGAGTCCATAAAAGTCATATATCGGCATGACTCAGTAAAAGTCCCATAGATCATGAGTCCATAAAAGTCATATATCGGCATGACTCAGTAAAAGTCCCATAGATCATGAGTCCATAAAAGTCATATATCAGCATGACTCAGTAGGGATGGCTATGGACATAGATCATAGAGATCGATAATTGCTAACTAAATATCGATCAATTATCGATAAAAATCGGAGAAGCATCCATAAGCAAAATGTGCTAGAAAGTCCCGAAAGAAATCAACATATTTCACGCCACTGGTGCGCATTTATGCATAGATTACTTTGTGGACATTTGAGATATAACAAAAACTTTTGGTTCATGTCTTCAACAAATGACATGATTGACAATAACAAGTCTATTTTGGTAGATCTAACTTCATTACAATAGTTTAAGTAAGTTATTATCCATGACAACAATTTCATATCGATAATCATTAATATTTCTTCCCATCGACGATAATTCCAATTATCAATCTTTTCAGCCG